GCAGCAATCGGACTTATAGCTTATATGTCTGGTGTTTGAGCTTCTGTGCCTGAGGGGTTAGAAGGCAAACAAGGCATTTATCTGGCTAACCACCCAGACTGGTGGTCTGTTTGCCTACAATTCTTTGCCAGCTTACTGGTCAAGTACATGTACTGTAGGAATGATATTTTCCTCAGTTTGTATCATCTGACATAATGACTGGAACTGCTGCATCCACAATCGACAGGACAAGGACCACCTTGAGCATAAAGAACATATTGAACACCATCCTGTACCTCATGGCCTAGGACAGTGGTGATGAACCTATGGCACGGGTGCCAGAGGCGGCACTCGGATCCCTCTCTGTGGGCATATGTGCCGTTGCCCCAACATTGCCTCCCTCCATGACCCCCTCCTCACCAGCAGCCCTCCTGGAGAAGAGTCGCCCCCGAGCGTGGCCCACACAGAGCAGTGCAGTCAAGGATATGGCAGCCAGGCAGCATAGACAAGACTCTGCCCTCACACCCCATCGCGCACAGTTGATGCTGCAGGTACGGGCAGAGGACGTGGCTGCCATGGCACTGCTGGGCAATCTGCGGCGGGCCCAGGAGGTAGTGAGTGGCCCTGTGGGCAGGCGGGGTACGGGTGGAGCACGGGCGGGGCAGGGGGTGGAGCAGGGGCGGGGCCAGTTTTTGGGCACTGGGTCTCTAAAAGGTTTGCCATCACTGGCCTAGGACATGCCATTGCACGAGCAGTAATCCCAGCTATGGGGGTTGGTTTGAATTGTAAGTCTTTTATAGAATTAGGTGACTGGACAGAGGAAATGTTTAACCACACCATACAGGCATTTACACAGTTCAATAAGGAACAGGGAGAAATAAGGGAAGTAGTGTTACAGAATCACCAAACACTAGATATGGTACTAGGAGCAAAGGAGCGGTGTGTGCTTTGGTCCACTCAGATTTTTTTCACTGACTATCAAGTTAATATTAGCCACACCATCCATCTCATGGAAGGAGGAATCAAGAATCGCCCTGAGGATCTGGAGATTTTCACTGATGCTGTATGGGGAGCCTTCAGTAGTAAATTCTTGTTCCTTACCGGCTGGCTCCTGGGATGGGGATAGTTTAGGGAACTATTTATTGGTCTTCACTTTGTGGTGATCCTTGTTATCTTTTTCTGTTATATCTTTCACTACTTGCCCCTACTCACCTCTGCCTGTCCTCAACAATGTGGCCCACATAGTGCAGAAGCTTATCTTGTGTCTCTCCAGTTTGATGATCATACTTATGTGCACTGCTCAAAATATGAAAGGGGAGATTATGTTGACCCAGAATTAGGAGACAGCATAGGAAGTATCAATTGTGAATATGTGCAGATGGCCCTGCTGTCTTTGGGCACTTGCAGAGTCATGGATGCAGGGTCATGAAAGGACAGCAAAGAAAACACCCAATGTCCTAACCCACCCGGGAATGTACAATGTCTTTAGGGAAACACCCAAAAGGTAACATTTGTAGCTACTTCTGCTTTCTCCCTTCTTATCTACAGTGTGCCAGACTTACTGGGTGAAATCTATCTTATGTGTGTCAGCTTTGCTGGATGGATTGCTTATGTAATCAAAAAGAATAAATACAAGTATTTCTTGTCATTCGGGGCTTTTCCCTTTTAGAGGAGCCCATCTTTGTTCAGCTGAATAAAAACGTAGAGCTTAAAGGCAACTTCTGGTTTCCTGTATTTTTTTATCAAGCAAAACCTCAGAACTTGCACAGCACTGCTTGATTTTGAAAGGATAAGCTCAAAGAATAAATATTGAGTGTATTCATCTAAAAGAATAGATAATAGAAAATTGGTTAAATTCTCAGAAATTCAGAACTATTTATGACACATAAATATAACTTCTATGACTGCTTTTACTTCACAAAAAGGAAGTAAATTGTCCCCAAAGACTAGACAATGCACTTTAGAAATGTTTCTCAATCAGACATGAATATTTTTTTCCACTCTAAAGAGAACTGCCAGCTATAATTAACAAATGACAACGTTCTGTTAACTCTATAATGCTCCTACTTTTCAGTGAATGTGTTGGTTCAGCCTTTTCCCAACTGGCCTGTGTAAAACCCCATTATAATTCTGAGTGGAAATTTTTTCCTTAGGTAGTCATCTGCCAAGTCAAATAAGCAAGTCTTGTTTAGTTGTTCCCTAGGTTTTTGTTTCACTTCATCATGAATTCCTTACTTGCAGCTTCCTGCAACAAGAGACTGACTTTGTATGAGCTCCTTTAGAAAGCTGCAAGGATTTTCTACATATCCAAGCCTTTTGTTGAAGCTCCTCTCCCCCTACAACCCTGATGTTTTATACTGAAAAGCCATGGCTTATTGGTCATTGACAAAAATATCAAAATGTGGTTTCATGTTTTCATATTATTTTTGTGAAAATAATAATTTACATTGTTCTCACAACTTCATTCTTGTATGTAGTAGTGTCATCATAAAGCCAACCTGTGTCATAATCTTCAGACATCCCACTGGAGAGATTTACACATGTAATTAACTCAGGAAGAAAAAAAATGTAGAGGAGCCTAACAATGCTCCACTGAGGTAAAGGAATGTACCTGTAATATTTGGATAGAAGGAAATTTAAAATCTGTAGAATTAGTTTTTTTTCCTTCTAAAAATCTGGTAAGTAAAAAGTATTTCATACCATTCCAAATGATTCAAGCCAGATGTATTGAATCAGTATTCCTCTAGTCTAGCTATTGTTGAGTTTCAGAAGCTCTAATCGAGCAGAACCACTTAGAACTGATGTGAGCTGGAGCCCAAAAGCCTCTGGAGAGCTACATGATCCTTACCCTTGCCTTAGCCTTTCTCCAGCCTTTGAATATGTAGCATTGAATTTCCAAAATCATTAGTAATGATCTTGCTAGCTGACAAATTCTGGGAGTTAAAATCTGCATACCTGGAGAATACCTAGTTTGGGGACAGCTGCACTGGACAAATATTATAGAGGCACAGAAATTACAAGGTAATCCAGATCCAAAAATTAAAGGCAAAGGAACCTATTTTTACTTTTTGTTTAAGATTAGACACTTCCAAACCACTGAATTTCCAGATAGTTTGGAGCCAGCCTGGAACCATTTTCACATGTGTTCCATTTCAAACTGCAAAAAACAGGCAGGGAACACCATGACCCAATCTGTGCTTTTCCTTCAGAAGGCAACTAGAATAACAACAAAAACAACAGTGCTCTGCAAATAGCCTGACCAATTGCACAGCCAGATCCTGGGCTTTGGAAATAGCCCAGTTCATTTCCTATTAACTCAGAGGCATGAATTTGGAAGTACTGAGCTTCACCCACATCAAGAAGTTTACAAAATAATCACATATCCCATTCTTTTCTCCATTTCCTCTGTTCTTTAATAAAGACAATACTTCTGTCTCTATTCTCCATTCCTGGCAAAGATATTTCAGAATTTTTCAAAAGTGGCAAAGTTGTGATGGCTGGAGCTCACAGTTAATCCATATTTGTGCGCGCACCTGCATGCATACATACACACAATGGACTAAATGGGTGAATAAACAGTCTATTTTAGAGTTTATTTAGGGTTTATACAGTATTTTTCAGCAGCTCCCATCTTAAAATGGCAGCAACTGCAGCAACAGTCAATTCTAGGCTCACAAAGAAAGGGCTCAGGACAGACTGTGTTTATGAGTCTCAGGTTGCTCATTTAACTTTTTAAAGATTTCAGATACAGGTAAGTTTAGGCCAGGACCTCTTTTATAAACCATCTCCACTACATAGCTAGAGAGTCATAATAAATAGCCCAAGAGTCTGCACAGAAAAGGAAGTTGCTGTTTGCATACTGTAGTAGGAAGAAGGGGGTAAAAAACTAAAAGCTCCTCTCCAAAGCAAAGCTATTTTGACATAAATTTTGGCTATCTTTCAAGCCAAGCCCACAAATTAGTCTGAATTCAGCATAAGCCACCACAGGTCCTATGTTTATGCTGCTTACACATGAATTTGAAATTAAGCAACTGCTTGCTCAGATCACTTCTTCAGGATTGAGAAATATCTCAGAAATACTTGGGAAAAAAATGACCGAAAGATGCCTTACTCTTGCCTATCTTCACTCTGTTCAATCATGGTCCAACCACAGGGGCCATTTTGATTTTACAGCAGACATAGATGTAATATGCCCAGTGGTGGGATTCAAATATGTAAACAACCAGCTGTGTGTGTGGATGCCGCTTCCAGAAGCCCGTTCTGGGCGGCTGAGTCCCACCACTAAATAACCCTTCAACATGTTTGATTTGAGCTCCTTAATTTTCCCCTACCCTACAGATAGAGGGTAGATATAAGGGTAATCCTACTGGAAGGGAAATAAAATGAGGAAGAAAAACAAAACAAGATAAAAAGACCTTCCCTGCTTTTTACTCCATAGAAAAGGCCCTGGCTCTGAAAATATTTGGTGCATTTCTGAACAAACTTGTTGCTTGAATCTTGGGAGTTCTGCTTTCCGACCTGGAAGAGGATGCTTTATGTGTGAAATAACAGGCTGGAAGCAATCACAGATTATTTTATTGCATCAGCGATCAATCCTTTTGATTGGTTGACCCCTCTAGGAACCTTTTCGTCATTGATACTGCCATCAGGACGCCGGGCAGCAGATCGCTTATTAATTAAAAAAAACCTTTAGGTGGATTATTTTTAAAATAAAAAAAAACGACTAGCAGGTAGCAAGTCCGTTTCCTTCCTTTTGGAGGAGAGAAGGGAACTCTTTCCTTGGTTATAAATTGTGGTTCCATTGCAATACAAAACCAGCTCTGCGGTTTGATTTCACCCAAAGCCACATCGGGGGCCGCATCCCACGGCTCGGTTTCTTTCCCCCTTACTGAAAGCTTCCCGCCCTCCATCCCCAAGCCTCGGCCCCCAGAGTTGACACGGCGGCCCCCGGAGCCACAGCCTCTAGGAGGCGGTGTGATTTTTTTCCCTTCGCCGTTTTTCCAGCCGGTGGGAGGAGCAAGTTGGCTGGGGGCCAGGGACAGAGGGAGGGTGTCTGCAACCCAAGCAAGGGAGGGGAAATAACGGGAAAAGAGAAGGGGCGGCTTGGTTGTCTTGTGTGCCTGAAAGGGGAAAAAATCTCTCCGACCTCGCAGCGACAAGACGCGCGGCTCCTCCTTTCCAAACCCGAGGCCAAATCCTCGCCGCAGCAATGGGAGTGGAAGGCTGTACCAAGTGCATCAAATACCTGCTGTTTGTCTTCAATTTTGTCTTCTGGGTGAGTGGCGTCTTCCAGGGCCTTCGTTTGCTCCGTCCCGGGTTGGAGGGGGGGTGTTGAATCTCTCCCGTGATTAATGTCGTGTGGCTGGTTGCTTTTCTCCTCGCCTTCTTTTCCCACCAAAACAAAGAAACGGGCTCCCAGAGGAGCCCTGCCTGGCGTCTCCTGCTGCCCAGCCGGGCGAGCCTTTTCGCCCGATTTCTCCCCGGCGTGGGATGGAGGGATGGCTGCCTCATCCGGGCAGCAGGGCGCGTTCTCCTGCAAAGCGCTGCTGCATCGACCGAAAGGGATGTCGCGTGGAAAGAGACAGCAGAGCTCAGGACCCGGGTTTGCCCGAAAGGAATCTGGGTATAGGGTGGAAGAGTGGAAAATCGAGAGCCGAACAGACACCGGCTCGCAAAAAAAAAAAAAAAACCGGTTTAGAAACCGTCTGTTTGTTTCTTACCTCTTTCCTTTTACCTGTTTTTTTTTTTTTTAAAAAAAAACAACAACATACAAAGTAGAGAAGGCACATTTGGCTTTGATGCCATGTGACGTTTCGTGCACCGTGTACTTGTAGCGTCTTGAAACTTCGACTTAGCCAACTTTCAAGTTAATCTTTTTGCTAACTCCCACCTGAATGCAGATTGGTAATAAGAGACTGTTGTAAGAGCTTTGTTGCGTGGAGCAGATTTGGATCTCCAAGAGACTTCTTGTCCCTTGCAGGTCACGCCAGCTACACTCTATAAATCTAGTGGAAAGCAACAGTTTCCTGTTTGTTAAACAGCTTTTTTTTTTTTTTTTAAGGTAGCTTGTGTCCCGTAGATTTTTGGGTGGTGGTTTTGGAACACTAGCTAAGTGGGTATGTCTAAGGGAATTTCATTTATTTATTTTTAAAAGTAACATGTTGGAGGAAAAAATCTAGCATTTTACTTATTTCTATTACTTAATGAATTATGGAAATTATTGTATATATATATATATATATCAGCCTGAGAACTGAAGTGATTCGGAAGAAGAGCGTTCATGTTTATAACAGAATAAATATATTCATGTGAATGTTGGTCTAAAATGGATGACTTACAGCATTTTTTGAGACTGCCTTTCATGATCTCATTTTTCCTCCTTGGTTGTTGCACCAACCACACCCCAAGTCTCAGAAGGTCTTGAGTTTCTCCAAGTTCCCAAGAAATTCAGGCCTTCACAGATTACTTAAAATTCATATTGGTAGGAAATTAAGTTTTTACCTTCAGATTTTGAGGCTTGCTCTTAGATAAAAATAAAAATTTGTAGGAACGTTGTGTGAAAATGTCTATAAATCTAATTGCTTTCAAACACAAGCAATATTGAGTACTTGTTGAGGAAGAGAGCTAAGATATTTGTATATGCTAAATGCTCATCTGAAACTATTTGTCCCAGTTAAACCATTTCCACAAGAAGCTGTACAGAAATGTTTTACATGCCATCATCTCAGATAAGTAAGGGTTTAAAAGAGCAAGATATGTCTGTTTCTTGAATTTTCTCTATAAATACTGTTGAACGTCTGAGAAAATATGTATACAGTGCTAAAACTTATAGGAATTCTTCTAGACATATTTGGAAACCCATATATACAGTCTTAAATAAGACAATTTGTGTTTGTTTTCTATTATCCTATTCATTCTAGAGTTACCCTGTTTCCAAGCTGCGTCACTTTGTGATGCTTCTTAAATCAGTGCCCTGTGCTCTTCTTTAAACTATGGAAGAGAAAGGGATTAAGAAGAGTTGGTAGATTACAAATGAGTTCATATATTATATTAGTGTCGGTGTGATTATCACTTTTTGAATAAGTAAAACATAAGTTTATGTGTTGTGGTTTGTGTTTGTGTCCTACACCAACCAGAGTCACTGTTGTGAGATAGGTAGCCTTATAAAATAAAGGTGTTTATGAATCACAGTGGCTGGTTTCATACAAAGCCCTGTTTTCCAAATTAAACACCAAATGCTTTAATTTAACACAAGATATAAACACTTGAATGCAGTAGATCAACTTTTCCCAATCAGTTTTTTTTTTTTCAATTAATGGGATTCATAGAATTCCCAGGATTCTGTGAAAAGAACTGGACAATTTGCAGACATCAGGTTTGGGGTCTCTGGGAATTCTTTATAAGCAATTTCTAAACAGCTGGCTCAATCAAGATTATTTCTCAAAATTTTATATGTTTTTGTGTGTATAAATAAACATAAATATACATACACACACATTCACCATCATTGGAAGACTTGAAAGACCAAGGAGGGACAGCTCACCATGGAAAATATCTATGTGGTTTATAAGGTCAACAACTTGATGACAGAGTACATATATATCACATTTAATATGCTTGAAAAAACTGAAGTAATCTTGGAATCTCATTCTTAAACAATTTTTTATGATTAGTTACATAAAGACTGGCAAGAATACATCCATGCACTCTTGATATACTTAATCTGTTCCTAGAATCTTAGATCTAAAGACAGAAGGAGAGGCTGGAGAAAGGCATGCATGCACCAGCTGCAGTTTATTAATTACCCTTTAGCTTCACTTGTGGAAGCTAATTGTGACAATGTTTTAGAGCACGGGCGACGTGACGTGTCATGATGTATCATGACTTTTTTCCCATTGCTGGCAAAGGGGTAGGCGCGGTTTTGGCGTGACGCATCCGGCCTGTGGGCCAACAGTTTAACACCCCTGTTTCAGAGCTCTAGACTGTCAAAATTCAATTTGAATTTGATATTCTGGGAATTAATAAGGGTCTGGACTTAAAAAGAAAAGAGTTGAAGGATAGGGGAAAAAAAGGAATAGTTGCAAATGAAGTTATAGTTATTATTATGATTGATATTGAACAGATGGAGAGAGAATTATTAATAAATATGCATAAGGAAGAAGAAATTTGCACTATGTTGAAAACTAGGGAATGAATCTCTGAATGTATTAGTTGAATTGACTAAAGCAAAATGGATAAAATTGCTGTAATCTCAAATCATTCCATTCTTCCTCCCAAAATAGGGGAAGGGAAAAATAACATCAGCATCTCTCCCCGCTTTCTCCTTATCTAGAATCTTTAGGTGGTGTATGTTGACATAGTATTTATAATGGTAAAATCTGAAAAGGCTGAAATTTTAAAAGAAGGCTATGTAAGATTTATTGTGCAACTAATCAGTTCAGATTTTTCTACTGTTGTGTTACCAGGCATTTTTTTTCAACTTCTTGTAATGATTTCTTAAACTTTCATTACTAGTTTGTCCATTCAGTTCCACATTTCCTTGTGACCGATTGCTTAATAATAAGATAATTTTTCTACAGTGTAACTACCCTTTTTTGTTATTGCCAATTCTCTCGGCCTCCATTAGCCCACTTCTAAATACTTCCAAATTCATTCAATGTATGAATGTTCATATTAACTTGCACACAAGTGTCAGGAAACATTGCATTCAGAGAAGATCTAATTAAGATATATTTATGAGGATTGCTTGCATTGGGTACAAAATGGCATAATGTTTCCTGCCTCATTTATAAAAACGATTTAGTTTCTTCAAATTCCTTAGGAAAAAATGATGATGTCATTAAAGATCCCTCAAATTCAGCTTCTTGGCCACAGTTCGGAAATGGTTTTCCTTTGCCTTTTTCTGGAATGTATTTTTGTCTTCTCAGACAAGAATGAGGTTTCCGGAAGGTACCAACAGCAAAATCATATAGAGTCAAATGGAAGGGAGGAGCTTTTGGTGAAATGTGGAGCATTTCATGCTAAATGTTTCCTCAGTAAGAAAAATAAATCTCATTTGCAAAAACAGAAGCAAAGACATTGGGCTAATCAAATCATTTGTCAGAACATTTCTATGAGTTGTACAAACTTTAAGGTCATTCCATGAGAAACAAAGTATACTGTGACCTGTCATAAAATAGTTGTAGATGGGAAGAAAAATCTCTGTTTTGAAAAATGAAGGGGGGGGAGCTTAAAATTAGCTTGAGTGTGATGAAGCAGCACATGGGAAAAACAATACAGTAACATAATTTTTGCATTTCTCCAGAGTAAACAATTAGGAAAATGATCCCATTAATATTAACACATGCGTCTCCTTTTTCTCATCTCCATTAAGTCTGCATAAATAAAGTCCATAAATGCAAATTCAGAGTGTCTGTGATTGGTATTGGGCACAATGAGTTAGCAAATTCTTATAAACAACCACTTGCCAAAAAAGAGAAGCAGGGAGAAATTATATTTCCAGTTGCAAATGGCTTTGCTAATAACATTTCAATCAAGCCCATTCCTTGGTGCTTTTATGCCAGTTGGGATTTACATCTAGATAAACATTTACCTCTATTCTTCCTATAACAGAATTCTCTTAGCAAGCAGCAGCAGGAACTGTACTGGGTGTGCAATTTGCTAAATTCACAGTTGGAGGAATCACAAAATCAAGAATTTTTATTATTACCAGCAACTGAAAAGTGAATACTGGGCACAAATGAAATATTGAGGACATAGAAGTTAACCTTTGTAGCAAATCATGTTAGTCATGATTAAGAACTTAATAATGATTTTTATTTGAACATGTCCCCAGATACTCTATGGCTGCCAGGCAAACAAAAGTGTAAGGGAGTCAGACGAATCCCTTAGAAGTGTTTTCCAACCCAATCATCATAAGGCAAATCTGCTCTTTATATTCCCTTCTCAGTGTTCATTAACTTATCTGTGTACAGGTAATCCTCGACTTACAACAATTCATTTAGTGACTATTTGAAGTTAACAATGGTGCTGAAAAAAGGGACTTACAACCATTGCACACTTAAACAATCCAGCATCCCTGTAATCACGTGATCAAAATTCAGACACTAGGCAACTGGTTCATATTTATGATGGTTACAGCATCCCAGGGCCATGTGATCCCCTTTTGCGATCTTCTGACAAGCAAACTCAGTGGGGAAACTAGATTCACTTAACAACCATGTTACTAAATTAACAACTGCAGTGATTCACTTAATAATTGTGGCAAGAAAGATC